TCCAAATCTCTGATCCCAGATCATTCTAGCAAAGATGATCCCTTCCTCTTTCCTACTGTTCTGAAAAGGAGAAAGGTATAAAGTGGCCATGCCAATGTGTGTATGTAAGGTTTTTGTACATTAGCAAATGGTGTCCATTTCCCAGTTACACAGTTCTAGTTTCTTAGGCTTTGATCAAACTATTTTCTCATGTACCACACTTATTTTACTCTGGGCACTTTAAAGAAATGGTTTTATATAAAAAAAAGAAATGTAACAAACACAAAAGAAATAACTGACCGTATGAACACATCTTATAACTAAGCATACACATTTTATGTAAAAGGAACCCATACTACAAAAAAGATAGTAATTGATGATTTATAGGCATGTAATAAAAAAACATCCTGTGGCTACATTTTCATTTGGGTTGAGCTAATTTTAATGAACTAATTAAGTATAAAGTAATAACAGTGTAAGTTAAATCATAGAAATTAGCATTCATAATACTAGAGTTTGAGCTTTATATCATTACTTCTTTATAGTTAATTAAGTAAATATGAAAATTTCTGTTCTAAATTAACAGCTCAAACAATGACATTCAAATTCTCAAACTTTAAAAAAAAAACTTATGACTCCTTTAAAATACTGCTTTCAAATTAAATTTTTCTCTGTTTTAAAAATGTGTTTATTTATGTATATAAGACCTGGGATACAGGCCAGAGGTATGGAGGGAGAGGATTCACCAGAGAGAGTGGAGGAGCATAACTGGTGAATCTACTGAAATACACTGTTAAGAGGAGCATCAGGTGAGACAGAAGAGGTCTGCTGCACCAGTGGGTCAGCTTCCTGGCCGGCCTGGGATTGAACTGATGCTGCCAGTGGCGGCCAGTAGCCTGACAGCACTGTCTTTCACCTAGAGCCCCTGAATTAAACTTTTCTAATTGTTTTATTTTTAATGTCCTTATAGTTTTTATTTTCCTTCTGTTTCCTATATTTTCAATAACTGTCCTCGGTTATATCTATCCATCAATTGATTCCACACAAGTTTGTCATACACTAGGATCAATGCTAAGTACCAAAATTATAGCACATATAATAATTCTAGTACACACTTTATTGCCATATATACAACCTTACTTATATATGCAGATTCATTAAATTTCAATCATTACTTAAACTTGCATAATTTAAAAGGTAAAATGGAATTTTAAAACAAGAACTAAGAGAAAGGATAAGTGATATAAAATATAGTGGCCTTTGATTTTTATCAGGTTAGTTAATTTTTTAAAAATGCATAAAAGGCGGCCCTCCCTGGTGGCGCAGCGGGTTAAAGCACAGCACTGAGAATCTGAAGCCACTTCCGTATGAGTTCAATTCCCGCCTGCCGCCTGCCCCGGAGGAGACCACATGGCGAGCCAGACCTCTCCTGACCCGCCCGCTGCTCCCCTCAGCAGTGTACTTCGTCGATCTGCCTGTTCTGCTCCCCACTCTGTCTCTGGTGAAGCCTCTCACCGCCCCTGAGCCTCTGGCCTGTACCCCAGTTCTGTATGAATAAATAAATAAATCTTTAAAAAAAAAAAAAACCTTAAAAAATGCATAAAAGGAAAGATTAGGAAAAAGATTAGGAAAAGTAGACTACCATCATTACACATCAAACAAGCTATAGAAAATAAAATATCAAAATACTCAACTCCATTCTTAGATTATTTCTACAAAACACCACAATGCATGAGAGTACATAAGTGTGTATGCATAAGGTACCTATGTATTTGTTTATTAAGTCAGAGTCATTATTTGGAGAATCAGCTCTCTGTACTGTTTGTGCTTTATGATCATTAAGAAAGAAAAGCAACGTGTCATGTCTGCTGTCATTCTTTTTAATCATCCCCAAAAGTTCATGAACGAGTATACATGTCCCACTTTGAAGGACACTTGTTTTACATATTCTTAAGTCCAAATATAGTGAACTTTTTATATATTTTTTAAATAGACATTTTCAAAAATATATCTATGACAGCTTTAGCAGAAAATTTCAAGGAATGCTCTTCCATGACTATATATTTTCTAAGTCTTTTTGCAAATGTCACTCTTCTACCTCAGTATCCTCACTTCTCTATCTAAATTTACATTCTGGCTGAAATGTTCATTCTAAACCACATGTCAGTCACCAGCTTAAGAACATTTATTTATAGGCCTTTTATTTCTTGAAAAGTAGCATCTGACGCCATTGGCATGGCAGAGAAGGGCCTAGGTGAACGGGGTCTGTCCTCCCTTTCCAGCTTCATCTTTGAAATCAATGTCTCACAATCTCTGATACTCTTATCTATCTGTTCATATATTTGCCACTTCCTTCCCTAACCCAGAATATTCTTCTCATCCTCCTCATCTATGCCAACCTCTACCCTTCTCATTCAAACAAAATTTCTTTTCATGAAACTTTTCAAGCCAGAAATGATCTCCCTTCTTCCCTCCTTCTTTCTCTCCCAGGTTCCTTTATCTTCCTCCAGTCTTCACTTCACTCCTTTTTTATGTGCCCCTTTCTTGTGTTCCTCTGAAGGAACTTAACACATCCTACTTTTTGTTATAAGCATTTGAATTTCTCTTTTAATAGTCCTTAAAGCAAAACTGTTCCTTATTTAGTTTATAAGCTTTTAATACTTAGTTTTTTTGTGTTAGTAAAGTGATTAAGAAAGCTCATAAATAGAATTTCTTATTTTTAAGCAACATGACTGAGTGACAGCTCTAAACGCATGCTCATATATTACCTTATCTTTCCCAATAAAATGGGACTATCAAAATGAACACTTAATCATTGCATTCTTAATTTCCTTTAATAATAGATTAAATCATAACCATGATCATGAGCATATATGTTAAGGGAAACTGGACCTTTCTAGAGCCTGATGTTAACCAAAGCACTATGGAAGATATTTCAAATGGCCTCTGTCCAATGGCCTTCAAGCTCCAATTGTACTAAACCCCAATTTTTGTTTACAATAATTTATGTTTATGGAACCAGGAAAACTATCATCATGAGAATGCAAAAATAAAAAAAAAATCACAAAAGTATACCAAGCCTGAATTATGTCACTGATTTTGGGATAATTCAATATTATAACTTGCACTTTCCACTTGTCTTTCTATTATTGGGTCCAGGGATAATTGGGACACCTCCATTAACAGTGCATGAATTAACAACTATTGATCAAGTTTTTGAAGATATCAATATGAACATGTTGCCAAAACAATTGCATCACGAAGTTTAAAAATTTACTCAGAGAAAACTTACAACATTCTGCAAGAACACATTCTCATTCCTCTGGCTGTTTTAATGTTCTATAGAGTTCTTAAATGGTCACACCAATATATTTCTTTCATTTGAAATCCAATACAAAAATTTTGACATAATGATCCACTCAATAGTCAACTAACATCTATAGAAATTATTCTTTTCTAAAGAATGTCAAGTTTCCAATTGGGAAAATCACATATTACAGAGAGTAGATATTGAGTATATTAATTTCTTTCCTTAAGATCATAAAACATACCCTCAGGACAGAACTACTTTTATTAAATTACAAAAAGTAAAATATACTTATACTTAAAATTAATTTTATATGTGAAGTCATTCCTTCTGTGTTTCTTGCTAACACTGTTATTGTTATAATACTTTGCATGTACATTATAATATATTGAAAGAAGGATATTTTTAAAGACACATAATTTCAAAATCTTTAGGTTAAAATTTAAAAAGTGGAAATAGTTTCTTCTAGTCAAAGATTTATTCCTACAAATCTACACTAGCATATACTTCTAAATACATTACAATAAGGTCTATTTACTATTTTAGTTTATTTTTAAACTACACCCAACACTCGACTCCATACCAGGAAGATCAGAATCTCTTAAAGTGAAGAGGAAATTGGGAGTATGCTTTTGAAGCCAGTTTTTCCATCTGACGCTCATGTACACTATAGAGACATACAGAGTTTCTGAAATCATGCCTCAATGTACTCCCACTGTTATCTGTTGGAAAGAAAAGTTGCCAAATGATTTCTTCTTAAAAATGGTGCTTTCAAGTCTTCCTTCTTACAATTCCCAAAGTGTCATCCAGGAGAAAAAAAAATAAGCCTACTTCCAAATTCCATGTATTTTAACTCAATTAATAAATGAAAGGATCGTTTTTCTCTATGTTCCCTGTTGTGCTGAAGAGTCCCAAGCAAAAAGTCTGTGACACCCACTTCACACTCTGGTACAGAGACCGACCGCTTTTCACAGGTCAGAATTTGGATCCTGTCAGCATTAACATGCCCCTAAGAGAGACTTACTAGCCTTGAAATCTCCAGGCATAGTCAGCCCTTCAGAGAGTTCTCCTGCAGCACAGGCCCACCAGTTCAAGGAACAGCCAAGGCCACTTCAGTACCTTGGACAGCGGTCGACGGAGCCCGGTTATACGTTTCACTGTTCAAGAGTTTGCCTCCAGCAAAGTATCTGAGTCCAAGGGAAAGGATCTGAGATATCCCAGAAATACAGACCACCGCCCTTCGTTCTCTCCAACTGCCAGCATCTCTTTCCAGAAGACGACAAAGGAAATCGTAAGTACCTCTTAACTAGTCTATGATTCACCCCACAACTCGCTTCTCTTCCCCTTCCCAGTGGCCTGTTGCTAAGGAGGCAAGACAACACTTAGGAAACCTCCGGACCAGGTGACAGACCACAGAGGAACTAAGAACACGAGGGCGGCCGTGACAGCGGAGCGCTAGGCCAACCCAGGACCCCTTCCGCAGGAAGGGTGCGCTCTTCGCACAGCTCCGACGCCAACGACGCCCACCGCGCGCACCCAGCGGGTGGAGGGAACCGCGCGAGCTAGAAGCTGGCACCCTGGAGCGCCGCTCCCTCTGCCGGGCCAGGAAGCTCGACCCCGCAGAAAAGGCTTCTGGCCCAGCCTTGTGGACGCCTGTGCGCCCAGACAGCCTGGCAGGAGCTAGAAGGAAGCCCTGAGGAGGGCGGGCACTCACCATGTTGACTTCGGAAACCATGTCTATGCTGGCGATGTCGATGTTCATCCCCACGCAGACTGGGGGACCTGCAGAAAGCGCACAACGCGGTGATCAACCAGACTTGAGCAAGGGGCGCGGGTGGCTCTATGGATGCCGGCGGCAGGGAGAGGGACGGTATCTGAGGAGGGGTCGCCAGGGTAGCGCTTCCCACCCCACCCCCCCCCATTCCGCCGCAGCTAGGCGGAAGCGGCCCCCGCCTCCCTTCTCCACCCAGGCCGCCAGCGCTGTGGGTTGCTCTTCCCGCAGCGGCCGCGCGCACCCCACTTACCCCCGAAGTCGGGTCTTAGGCGAATGTCGTAGCCTTTCAACAGCTTGTCTACCGTCTCCTTCACAAAGGACATGTTTCCAGGATCGTTCACGCTGGGGGAGGGAGCAAGGGGCACAGAGATCAGCATCAGGCGGCAGCTCAGCTGCCAGCGCCGGGCGCGCACACCCTCGCGCCTTGCCCGCTGCCCGGCCCGCTTCCAGTCAACCCACCCGCGACCCTACCTCTGGGCGCAGCACACCACTGCCACCAGCACTGGGGCCGAGAAGATGCCAAAAAGCCTTCCTCCCGCAAAGCCCCACATCCCTCCGCCGCGCCCCGGCACGGGGGAGGGGGCGCCCCGCCGCCGTCGCGACCCGCAGCCGGGGCTGCTCCTGCTGCTGCCGCCGCCGCCGCCGCCGCGCTGGCCCCGAGCGGAGGAGGGCGGAGGGGGAGGGGGAGGGTGGAGGGGGAGGAGCGGGCGCGGGGAGAGGAGGAGCAGCGGGAGCGGGAGCAGAGGGAGGAGGAGGAGGCTGGGTGAGCTGGAGGCGGAGCCCGCTGCGCAGCGCTCCCTACCCTCCCCTGCGCACAGCGCGGTTGGGTGGCCACGGCCCTTGGTGCTCCCTCCAGCCCCAGCCACTGAACCCGAACCCGGGGACGGTGAGGTGTAAGTGTTGGTCCCGGCTAGGGAGGGTTGGCAGGAGCTGCGGCTGCGCGGCTCGGGGTAGGGCCGGAGTCCACCGAAACGCCAGCTCCCCTAGGTTCCCTGACACCTGGCAAGGGAGAGGACCGGGGGCGACCAAGACACCGGCGGAATTGGTTAGGGAAAAGCTCTTCGCTTTCTCCCGCCCCCTCCCGGATCCGATCTCCTCACTACGACCCCACCACCACCACCACCCAGCTGCGGCGCAGGCTAAGTGCCAGTGGGTGCAGTGCTGTGCCCGTGCTCGCCGGTCTACCGGCTGCAGCGTCTGGAAGGAAGCTGCGGTGCCCAGGAAAGCCCCCTACCTCACCTGTGGGGCTCAGAGCCTCGAGTCCCCAGAGTCCAGGACAGCCAGATTGGCAGCAGCAGGGCCAGGAGACCTGAGCACATGGCGCTGCTCTTCCGATTTAACCTGGGTGGGATCAGCTCTCCCCAGTCACGGAGCATTCAAACGGCGACGCGGGGATCCCCGCCCCTGCCCCCACCCGTGGGCTTTCCCGCCTGACCCATCTTCTATCTTCCGGTCCCTTGCATGGCGGACCGATTAATTATTTATGCGAGAAACCCGTTTTTTTTTAAATATCTGTTCTTTAAACTACTCCTATTACCTTCACTCCTGAACACCTCTTGTGAGCACTGGGTCCTCCTCCCTCACATAAATACATTTATAATGAATGCTAAAGTGATGCCTGGAAATGCGTATTTTATTATCAGTAAGCAGAGGTTTGAATTAAACAAGAAGACCCTTGTCATTTCAGGGATATGAAAACAGCCTGCCTTTCTGGGGCTGCTTGGTGCTGTCCATGGTTCTTAAGATAGGGTGAGGAACTCTGCGGTTTCTCTGACAGGCCCCATATTTGGTTCTCCTTAGAAGACTGCTCACGCCTTGACCAAGTTACAGTCCTACGTATGCCGCAGTCCATCCTATTTTGCCTGTTACCACTGTGAATATAAGGGGTGTCTGCATACCCATGGCCATAGAGGGTGTCTGCACAACCACAGCCATAGACTGTATATTTTTCTTTTGTGAAGTTTCTCTGTGCCTCAGACTTCTCATATGGAAGAAGATGGTTACACAATTCTACTTGTGGTCAACCAACAAAACCTACAAGCCAAGTTCACTTTTGTATTCTGCAGACTACTTTGGGCCATCCTAGGACTTAATGAATGGTTAATACTATATCTTGATTTGTGTTTTTCTATAAAGCTTAAGATTTTCTATTGTCAAGACTATATCTAAATAGGTAAGTATCTAAATCTAGACCCTTATTCTCAAGTTGGCAGGTTTCTATGCATTAATTTTAAATATCACTGCCTTTTAAAAAAAATCAGCCATTTTATTTTTGGAACAGAAAATGTGACCGCAGAACCTGAAAGGTTGATATTAAGATAGGTTAAGAGATAAATATAGCTCCCTAATTATTTTCTGGAAAAGTCTATTCACTATTACTTTATGTTCTGTGTCCTGTTCATAAGCAAGGAATTATCTGGAAAATGAGATCTGTGTTATCATACCTTCTCTTCCATTTACATGTTTTGGCCTATTTCTCCTATTTGTGTACACCTCTTTTACAGAAATGACCTCTTGGGATGACTATACAAGGTGAACAATAAAAGTAAGGTATCTGAATAAGTCCAAAAATATAACAAGAATCATCACTCTTTCTGCTATTTTATACATTCAAAGACATTCAAAATAGTATTACAAATGTTATTATTATCCAACCATGTGCCACCTCAGCCCTTCTTAACTTCAACCAATCTCTGGGGCTTGCAGCCTTATTTATTAATACCATCAAAGTTGCTACTTCAGCAAACAGTTATGCAAGATTCTGGTAAACTTTACATGGAAACAACCCCACCACTCCTCACCTCATGTCCACATTGTTTGTCTTTCATCACCCACCTTCAGGCTTCTCAGATGACAACAAGATCCAAGGTTCCAAAGTATTTGCCTGGCACCCACCCACATATGAGCAGCCTGAAATTGCAAGAGAGTCAGCCATCCATGTGGTGAACATTTAACAAGTGGAAGGTGGAAGTCAGTGGGTAAATGACTCTTCCTTTGATATCCCCCTAAGAAATTTGCTGAGATACAGTAGATATTCCTATCTGTTCCCTCTCTTTTCATGCCTCAATAACTCTTTTTTTCACCTTCATTTCCTCAGCAGTACATGCCTTAGTAAAAGTGAAACTCTTAAAATTTGCCTCAGTATGTTGCCTGGGGAATCTAAGTTAAGTCATAAATCAGTGGGCAAATCATCAAAATCACCGAAAAGGTCTTTTTATAATATGAAAGTAAAATCAAATAGAAAAAGTATGGAAAATAGACACTGTTGTAATCAAGATTCACAGGCTATAAGGGTCAGCCAGTCACTACTCAACCAAGGCTGGGCATGCAACCCATCAGAGAGCCATACTTAGGTTTGGATGAGCACTGTGCCTCCCAAATATCCACTTTCCCACTCTGTTTCCATGATTTCTGAAACCAAGAATATTTCTATAATTTTATTGATGCTGTTAATTTATTAGCCAATGAGTAGGAAAATATCAATTCACTTCTTTCATTTATTTTCAGCCGAAAAGAGGAAAGCATCCAGTTTGTTGATCTCTACTGGATTTTGATATCTTCTTTACAGTGTTGGATTTTGTTTTAGCAATTAAATTGCATGCTGAGGACTTTGATCTTTTCAAGAGCATTTTAAAACCTGCTAAGACCAGATCTAAAGTAGCTTTTAAATGTATGGTTATGTTTACTATACTATTAAAGTGGTATTCTCTGGGACACCAATTGAATGTCCAAGTGTACAACAATAACCTTCCTTTTTGGTGGGCTAGAACTTTAGTATATTCCAGTCCTGTGTCACCTCTGAAAAGTCATGCAGTTTTCAGGTTCTTGTATATATATATATATATATATATTTAGCTTTGTAGATGCTCACCCTATGCACTTACAACATAATACTTGCCAGTGGAAGTCAGGAGTCTAATGTGTGGAGCTTTTCCTGAAAAATATCCTTCTTTCCCATCTGCTTCCTCAAATGTAAGTTGCCACCATCTCTTAGAACTCCAGTCTCTATCTTCCCAAGCAATGATCCTGTCATGCTTGTTTCTTCTCACTACATGGTGTGTAATAAAGATCATCTGGTTGAGTTTCTTCTCTATATCATGTTCTATAAAGGTCTCCAGGTAAAAAGTCAATTCAGTTGTAGGACTCTTGATCCCTTCACTAAGAGACCACCATACTATGCTGCCTATTGGTTGAGTGCTGCCTACTGTGCTCTGTTTCATTTGTTTAGTTTTTCTACTTGTTTATTATGGAAGCCCAGTCACATTTACTTCATTATTGTCAGAAGTCTTAAGTTGATTTTTATTTTAGGTAATTGATCATTGAAATTCAAAACACTGTTACTCTTAAGATGGGTCTTATGATCGGAAAGCAATAAATGTTCATATCTCAGTGATCACTTATTCACATAATATATGCTATGTAAATGTCCAATAAGTTTACCAGAAAATTATACTTATATATTCAACCATATACATTATAGCTAGATCAAACTACAGTCAGAGATGTTATTTTTTAAAAAACTGTACTTGGAGTGGTAGTTCCTGAAATGTCAATGGAAATAAAGAAAAATCTGACAGGAGGAAGCACAAAGGTAAAAAGCTACAATTTTTTAATTAAATGAAGAAATAGAAGACAAGAGTTGCCCTAAGGAAAGATCACCAGTGACACATAAAACATTTTTAGCCAATAAATAAAAGAATACTTGCCCTGTACATGAAACCTTTTGCTACTTTGGGTTTCTAGAAGTTTCCTACTTACACCAGATGGAAAGATCTTAAACTAATGATGCTCTAATGTGCATTTCTGAGATATTACTTTAGAGTATAACATATTCAATAGCAATGGCTTTAAAAGTCTGTCATTCAATTTCCTTTTCAAAAAGCATCATAATTTCTTTTACTAAAGATGCCATGGTCCTCTTTTTCTTCTTCTGCCTCATGTCATTCTTCTTATGATTCACCTTCTTTCTTTTTTTAAAGATGTATTTATTTATGCATACAGAACTGGGGCACAGGCCAGAAGTGCAGAGCGGTGAGAGGATTCACCAGAGACAAACTGGGGAGCAGAACAGGCAGATCAACAAAGTACACTACTGAGGGGAGCAGCAGGTGAGTCAGGAGAGGTCTGCTGTGCCATGTGGGTCACCTCTGGGGTGGGGGATCGATCTTGTGCTGAAGTGGCTTTAGCTTCTTAGTGCTGTGCTTTAACCCGCTGTGCTACCAGGGAGGCCTGATTCACCTTCTTGACCTGACTATGTAACATTGCTGACAGGATATATGGTAAATATAACCAAATACCCACTGGTATAAACTGAGTATAGTGCAAAAACATAGATAAAACTAAGAATAATTTTAATGTCTTAGGAACTTAAAAATAGAAAATTGATACAATTTTAATGCTCAACCACAAAGTAGGTACATCTCAGTGAAAAGTGTGACTTAAAACCTCAAGGAAAAATACAGAAAAATCACTGCTGGAATTCAATATATCTTAACCATTGAGTATGCTTTATAGTTTGGACAGGAATAGTTTCTAGAATTCATTAGAGTATATGTTCATAATATGTAGTGTGCATATCACATACTATATTAAAAAATAATATGTAGTGTATGTTAACATAAAGACTATGGAGTCTAACACTTCAGAAATTGTGAAA